GTTTAGATATTTTACATCGTAACGTCACATGGCAACTGGTCTATCGCAATTTACAACTCACCAAACAGTTATCCAAAGCTGAGATGCCGGGAGGCAATCGAAAGCCATGGCCTCAGAAGAAGACTGGCCGTCATCATGCTGGCTCAATACGTTCCCCACACTTTCACCTTGGCGGGTTCGTCTCTGCACTAGTTTTTGTTTTTGCTGTCAACTTTCCTCGCGCAAAATGCTCAATTCGAATGAATATAAATGGTTCACTTAAGTGAATCAGCACTGACCTACCTCAGGATTGTGTTAAAGGTTCGCAAATGGTGTTCGTGGTCCTCGCACGTGGTTCTATATGTTACCGGATGCAATTCGATTAAAAGGTCTTTGCGTAGCTCTGACCATCAAGCACGTTCAGAATGATCTGGTGATCGTCGATGATTTTGCATCATTGCCCAATTCTGAACCGCAGTTCCTTAATGACTTGGCTGATGCACGCAACTGGGGCTATTCAGTGCTGTTTGTTACGGACTCATCTCAGGTTCCCTACTTATATCGCTTTATTCAGATTCTGAGCGAGAAATTCGGTGGTTGTGTCGTTGATCCGCTCAGAGACTTGCTTTTGTATTGCTACTACTCGAATAGCGCATCAGCATACCTGCAGTTGTTCATCTTTGATAATATCCATCGAAAATGCTCTGCGAATAAGATTTTCATTTTAGGTGCCGCAGAATTTGGTGGATGCATGCGAATCGATCCCATCGTTTACGATAATGCCAATTTATGGTCTGAATTGTTACAGTATCATGAAATACGAAACGGTCGTATTGAGTCGATTGGCACTCGAGATTCTCGAGTATCGTATACTCTATCATAAACATCGTGCTGAGACTCTACAAAAGAAATACAAATATTCGGATATGAAGAAATTGATTTTGAGCGAAGCCGAAAAAGAGATTGATCCCGTTCACGCGCCATTTATTTGATTCACTTTCACCATTCATAGCAATCGCCTCAGCTATAAAATTGGAATGAAACTGAGAAGTTCAACTGAAGAATGTGATCAGACCATTGATGTGGTGAATTCAATATGAAAATCTTTTACGCTCAATAGGAGGACTGTATTCTCACCTACAAACTGAATAATTTGTCTAGGGAAATGAATTTTGCACTATGGAAACTTTCTGATTTCGATGAATCTAACCGTTCATTCGTTTGAGACTGATTGGACTTTAGCAAAAATGTCCTTTTTGTTGTATTCTTTCAGCAAAATTTTATGCATAGAAGTTGTCGTTGTTGTAAAGATACAAATGCGGGTGTAATGCGCATTGANTTCAGCAAAATTTTATGCATAGAAGTTGTCGTTGTTGTAAAGATACAAATGCGGGTGTAATGCGCATTGATATTACCAAATCATAGTAGATTTTCTGATTGAAACATTTTTTGTATTTGCGAAATAAATGTTTACCTCAGTCAGTTACAGAATTTATCGCATTGCGTTGCATCGCTTTGTTGTACCTATCTTCATCTTTGCATGTTTGTCAGCTGAATTGATGGATTGTTTGAAATAATGTGTGAATTGCAATTGAATTATGAACTGCGGATTAGCTGTTCGAAATGTATTGATGCCATTGAGCAGTGTTAGAAGGCATGTAATGATAACATTTGTTTAATAGTTCGGAAACATTCAAATGTGTTCAGAAGAATTTGCGTATGCGTCGATGTATTGGAAAGATTGAAAACATTGGATTAGTTGCTAACAAGAATTGAGCAGTTGCTAAGAATCTTATGAATGAGCGATTGGAATGATTACATGAAATCCTCGTGAAGTTGTTCGTTAGTATGAGATTTTCAAAAGATCAATATCGTAAAAAGCTGTTCCATTGAAATAGAATAGAATAGCTGCACTCTTGCTCCACGCGAATCATTTCTTTCACTCGTCAATGAATTTCCATTGGGATTTCGGTGTGCCGAGCACTGGGTGGGAAGTTTTCGTTATTTCAGTTACGCAACGAAACGAGGGAATTGTTCATTAATTGTATCCAAAATGTTAGTATACGATACAGTTCGATTACATGACAAATCCATATATCATTTATGTAAAAGTATTTTTTGTTTGCTTTGCAGCTTAGTGCGAAATGGATTG